GATTGTAATAAATATAGTAAAGGAACAAATAATTATGTCTTTATGATAGAGATAGATAGATAGATAGATAGATAGATAGATAGATATACAGACACATACACACATACACACACACACACACACACACACACAGACATACATAATATATACTCTTCCCTTAGGCAAAATTAGCAGACTCTCTTGGCTCAAATCAAAGGTGTATGAAGCTGCTATTCAAACAAAATATGTTTTAATCACCACGATATAAAAAAGATGTGGAGATTCTAGAAAATGCCGAGAAAAGGAACAAAGATGATCAGAGGGCTGGTGGATAAAGCATATGAAGAACGGTTGCAGGAATTGGGAATGTCTAGTTTAATGAAAAGGACTTGGCGTGACATGATAGAAGAGTTCCAACATCTACGGAACTGGCGAAGCCTTGTTTCCATGGATGGAAACTAATCAAGGAGAGAAGCAACCTAGAACTAAGGAGAAATTTCCAGACAGTTAGAACAATTAATCAGTGGAACAACTTGCCTCCAGAAGTTGTGGGATGCTCCAACATTGGTAGTTTTTAAGAAGAGATTTGACAGCCATTTGTCTGATATGTTATAGGGTTTCCTGCCTGAGCAGAAGGTTAAGATTAGAATACCTCCATGCTCCTTCCAATTCTGTTAATTTAATTAACTTGATATTATGTGTTGTCTCAAAAATCTGTAATCCTACGATAGTTACTAACAAGAAAATAAGCAAATTGATAATCTAAGACTATGTTATTATTATGTATTTGCAGAACAAAGGTAAACAGAAAAATATATTTCAATACAATGGATGGAAAAATCTTTTCGAGAATCCCAGATTTAAAAAAAAAACAAATTGAAGAAATTTACTATATGACATTTACTTACTGAGTTTCGGTTCCCAAAAGCAGTTCAATCTTCTCTCCTGCATGGTTACTCAGGACAGTTAATTTGAAGAGGTGATTGGCAGAACTCTGCCGAGAGTAAAGCATTGGTGTGCTACTTTTTACTGGAGAGGAATTCTGTTCTTCATTGTCACACTGCTCAACTAGTAACTGATCCCTTAAGGAGTAATCTGTAACATTGTAGCTCTCGTCACTGTCAATAAAAGGAACCAAAAGAGACAAGAGTCAAAGGGAGCTTAGATTCAAATCAATGCTAAACATGTCAGGTGTGTAACGAACATCTAGAGAACAGTCCACAATGCCTGATTTTCAGACATTTTTAGCTGTTCAGCAAAGGAGAAAAAAGGACATAAAGGATCCAATTATCAAGATAAAGCAGTGGTGGCACAGTGGTCAGAATGCAGTACTGCAAGCTACTTCTGCTAACTGCTGGCTGCCAGCATTCACCAGGTTGAAGGGTGACTCAGCCTTCCATCACTGTTCCTTCTAAGGGGCGCGGCTGCGCGGCCGCGCACGTGGCAAGAAACCCCCGNCTGAGTCAATCTTGAGACTGGTGAGATTTGAACTGCCAAATTGCAGGGAGCCAGCAGTCAGCAGAAGTAGCCTGCAGTACTTCACTCTAACCACTGTGCTACTGAGGCTCATATTAGGCTGAAAAAATTAGCAGCTGAAAATATAAAGCCACCATCCGACAACAGAAATGAACCTATCAACACTGCCATTTTTCCCTTCCTTCTTTCAATATTCTGTGCACCTCTAGAAATACAGAAGGCTCAGAGACTGCTAAGCTAAATGAAGAATTTAGCTTGCAATGAAATTCTGCTGCAAACGTTAATGTGGTAGATAACAGATAGTTCATCCTAAATTCTAGGTCAAATGATCAGTACATAATTGTAGGATGTATCTTAAAGTAAATGAATTGAGAATCAATATGTATGGGAAATTAATGGTTGAATGTGTTCTAAATGTGAACTTAGTGTAGTAAACATTAACACATTTTGACACTACTATATCTGTATCAGATTACTGTGATGATATGTATCAACCAACATATATGTATAAAGATTTGACAAACATAAAACTGAGTGGTAAATAAATGATAGAAAATGGTATACTATATTCAGTTTGCAGCTGACCAATCTTGGACGACTCATGGGCTATTGAGCCAAATTCAGACATCAAGCAGCTGCATATATTTTAGCTCATCCCAAAGAGAAAATTAAATTCAAGGTGCAGTAAAATTTTAAAAAATGTTTAAAGCTACTATAACAGCAAAAGAGACAACATATTTGTCGCTAGTATAAGTGTGCAGAAGATACTATGCCATTGCATTAAGTAGAATCAGTATCTCTGATAATGAGAATCAATGTAGTTACAATAGGAGCATGTCAAATAAGGACAAGGATGATACTCAGTAATGAAGGTCCCATGATAACCTCTTTTGGTCTCTATGTCTCAACCCAATTTAACACAGAAGGTCATAAGATAATAGAACACTAGGATGGGGACCACCTATACCACTTATAATTTATGGAAATAAATCTGACTGTACAACGTAATTGAACAACGTAATTCATTTTGCTAAGCCAGTAGGTCACTTAACTGCCTAGGAAGCTCTTCATTCTTCTTGCTATTATCATTTTCCTAGAGACAATGAATAATTTTTCTGAATCAAATTTTACCCCCCAAAAGGTAGATTTGCCGAGTGAAATTCTGATATAGGTAGTCCTCAACTTACAACCTTTCATTTAGATACTGTTTGAAATTACTGTGGTACTAAAAAAAAAAAAAAAAAGACTTATGACTGGTTATAACACTTACAAGGATTGCAGCATCCCCACAGTCACGTCATCAAAATTTGGCCGCTTGGCAACTGGGATATATTTTGGAGGGTTGCAGTGTCCCAGTCACCTGATCACCTTTTGTGACCTTTTGACAAGTGAACTCAATGGGGAAGCCAAGATTCACTTATTAACAACCATATTACTAACTTGACAACTGCAGTAATTCACTTAACAACTGTGGAAAGAAAGGTCGTAAATTGGGGCAAAACTTACTTAGCAACTGTCTTGCTCAACAATGGAAATTTTGGGCTCAACTGTGGTTGTAAGACTACTTAGAAGATTTTGCCCTTAGAAGATTATATATGGAATTCTGACTTCTAAACATGTACAAAAGAATTTCAGCAATAAACACGTTGTATTCTTTAAAAATAATATAAACATACCTTGCTTACTGCTTTTAAAGCCCTTTTGCAAACTTCATGTTTTGGCAAATCTTTCTGTGTTTTCTGGCAAATTGTCTGAAATAAAAAAATTCACCAATTTAGAGATGTGGGTTTTTTTTAATTAGTGAGAGGGAAATGTGTATGATACTTGTATATGCAAATCTGTATTATGAATTTTATGCAAATGTTTACCTTTTGCTGAATCAAAATATACTATATTCTAGATAACCGAGACATCTTACTCTGAAATGTTTTTTCTCCCAGGAAATACTTAAATTTCACTTTTAATATTTAATGTAATGAATTGGTAACACCATCTTTCTTTCTTTTTTAGTTTCAAGTACAAATGTCTTTATCTGCCTACTTCTTCAGTTCAGTTTTAACAAGGTATTAAAGATCTGCATACTGAAGTCTTTGATAACATGTAGATAGTTAGATATAGAACAAGATGCAAATTAACATTTTCTCTTTTAAAGGAACGTAATAAAAACAGTCTGACCATTAAATCAACATTTTATTAACTTGCTTTTATAAGCAAGCTATGAAAACAAACGCGCACCAAAGCAAACATTGATATATTTTTAATGACAAGGGAGTTAAGAGGGTTTTTTTTTTTTGCGAGAAGCCAAAATGCTATAAAATGGTTCCTGGTAATATGTTGTTTTTAGAGGCTTAATGGAATAAAAAGAACCATTACTGTTGGTTTTCCAGGCCAAATGATAGCAATTATGTATTAATACATAATTTAGCATACCTAGTTATGTTGGCAGAAGATTCAAAACTCTTGCTGACAAAATTCATTGAGTGGTCCAGACCACTCATTCTCACAGAGCCAAGGTGGCGCAGTGGTTAAATGCAGCACTGCAGGCTACTGCTAGATCAGCAGNCTGTTGCTCTCTTAGGTGCTCAGGCATGAAACTGTGCAGCTCAAACACTGTACTTTTCCGCTCACACTGAAAAAAAATTAGAGGGAACATTGCCTTCCATCCTTCCGAGGTTGGTAAAATGAGACCCAGATTGTTGGGGGCAATAGGCTGAATCTGTAAACTGCTTAGAGACGGCTGAAAAGCAATGTGAAGTGATATATAAGTCTAAGTGCTATTGCTATAGCAATATTGGGTCCTTTAGAAGTCTATTCCATATTTAAATGTATGCATTCTTATATTTAATTTAAACACTCCTAATTTTGTGTTGTGTGCCAGTTGCAGCCTTCCTGGACCAGGATTCCCTGTGCTCAATCATTCAGTCAATAGTCATCTTATGGCTGGACTACTGTAATGTGCTTTACATGGGGCTACCCTTGAAGCGCATTGGGAAGCTATAACTGATGCAGAATGGCTCCTGTAACACTACTGCTGTGCGAGCTGCATGGTTCCCAGTCTGTTTCCAGGTGCAATTCAAGGTGTGGGTGATCATTAAAGCCCTTCAAGGCATGGGTCCAGGTTACTTGAAGGACTCTCTCTCCTCACTGGGATTGGCCTATACCACTCGTGTTAGCAGAGGGAGCATGCTGCAAGTCCCATCAACCCAATTGTTCCAGCTGAAATGGACCTCTTCAAGACATAGACTATATGCACATAATTCATTTTGCAACAAATGATTATCTGATTCCAGAATCTCAGAGAAAAGTCATCCATACAAATGCTTCAATGGAGTTCGTTTCTAAAGGTTAAGCGTTTTCAGCAGCTTAGCTAGGGAATTATCAAGACTTCTGATTGGTTACATAGGTTTTGCACCCAAACCAGAGTTACTCAACATTAGTACATTCAGTATTAGGATGTGCAATGTGCATACAACTATGGAAACTCATGATATAGAAGTTATACATTTTAACCAGATAGTTAAGACTCATCTCTCTTCTTAGGTCGGATTTATATAGAACTTCCCATCACTTACTACCAGTCTTTAAAACTTTGAGACAGATTATGGGGCACATAATTAATACAAACAAATATTTCTGCTGGCTGCATTTTATCTGTGCTTCTTCTAGAATTGCCTGTGCCAAGTGAAATTTGTGTGTTTAACAACTGTCCTTTAATCATATAATAAGTATAGTTTAAATGCATTTGCTTATACTAAATTCATTAAAAAACAGATCAGTCAAAATCACATTTCTTGTTTCTTTGAAAATGGACATTTACGCTGGATAAAATGACTTGGATTTATTCTTAGTTGGATAATGACATTTATACAGGCCCTGGGGTGCAGCCTTGCACAGTTGTATTAGAATTGTTTAAACCTGATGGACCCAAGGAAGTGATGGGGTCATTATGACTGTAATATTCCCATTCTGCCCTTTAGATCCATCCCCTTCTTGTCTGGCCAAGCCATCTTGGGGTGATGTGAATGAATTCTGGTAGTGGTGAAACACTCATCCTTGAGAGTTTGTTCCTCCACCTCTGGTATTGGTCTGCTCCAAGAAGCCATCTTTGTTTGAAGGAACCCAGAAAGAGAACCTGTTTCTATTCAATCAATCAATCAATCAATAGGCTTTTTACTGCAGAAAACATTATTAATGAGAATACAAATTTGATGAATATGCATAACTTCCACAATGCTTGTTCCTGACTGAGTGACTGCACTAAATAAACTGATTTAAAGTCAAGTCACTCAATTTGGATCCAAAAAGAAAAGAAACATTTGTGTGTAATGTTTAGCTGATTTTGAATCATTAAACATATAATTCTCCCCAACCTTCAACTTTAGTAAATATATTGCATTAGTTCCATCACCGTCTATGGGATCCAACTGAAAATTTATACAGATAATTTTTTAATATATAAACAATTGATATTCTGAAGTTTGTAAAGCAATTATTTTTCAATTCCACTAGAATAGAATAAAAGAGCTTAATTTGTTTACAGTGCATAATAAGTCCTTATGAGTAATGCCAAATCCTCCCCATCTCAATAAACAACGTATTGCTAGAGAAGATGGTTAGCAGATGTATGAAAATGGATATGCAATAAGGCTGGCTTTATACCAAAAGTGTAAAAGTACAAAAATTAGGGATCTGGTTACTAGTAAACTATTTCTGTAGTTTCCATGTAAAAATTTGCCTGCATGCCAAGAAATGCAGCCAATGTTACATCACATATATACAAAAAAAAAAAATCTTTCCTTTTCTGAGTTTTTTTCTCAATTAAATTGCAAATAATTGCAAAGATTTCAATACATCTAAGCTTTAGTTTTAGCTTTAGTTTTTGTTGCTTTTAATCTTCTGTAAAACTTTGCAACTTTGAAGAAACTCAAACAATAGTTTAATTACAAACGGGTGTTATCGTTTTGAATATTTTTTTGATATATATAGCCCAAGTTCCATTGTATCCACAAAGTGTGCACAGGTAACATTCCAAAGAGTTTTGTGACCTTTGGCTGGCTTCATATTGAAGAAGTCAAGCTGCATTCCACTACCAGGATTATCTCAAGAGCTGACAAACCATTAGATGGAGAAAGAATTTCAGTGATCTCCTAAGGGGACTGTATACCATGTAAGAATATCTAATAACCAGACAGTTAAACAAAGGGTGGGGGAAGGCCTTCTAAAAATGTGAGCATACTTGACAGTTATCCATGTTTCTGTTAATGAAGTTTCACAGTAATATGAATTGTTGTAAAAATAATTAATTCAACAGTTCAAAAAGAGAAACATTTAACTGTGGATAAGAGAGGAAAATGCATCTCAATTAATCAAATCACATATGCTATATTTTAAGGCAGTACAGACTAACAACAGTACGGCATTCACTGAAGAACAAGAAGAAATACCACTTCAAAGCTATTTTGTAAAGCACTGAAGATCTTAATACAGAAGCAGAAAAAAAAAGCAACATATTCCATCTAGTTTTAGAAAGACACAGGGGCCACTTAGCCTCCATGTGCTTCAAAACTGGTAGAGATGTACAAAGCATGGTGACCTGGCCAAAGAACATTTTGGAAAATTCCAGATCATGCCTAACCTCTTTGGATCATGCTATTCCAGCATGGTTTCGGGAAGATATTTTTTCAGAACTGAAAACAAGTTAAGGTACCCAAGATACGGAGTTTTGGACAATATATACTTGTTTCAGAGCTGGATCATGATGGAATAATTCAAACCAATTGCAGCTCAGAGAATTTAAACCTGAAATCTGTCAAAACTGTCTCTGGAATGACATGCATCAAAGGGGACAGACTATTCCAGAAATTATGAATTTTGGACTATCCTAGAAGGAACACAAAGAGACAAATGTATAAAATTAGAAAGACATCTCATTCACTGCTGGTCAAGGGCTTTCCCAGGCTGAACAACTCGCACAATATGCTGGGTAAATTCTGCAATGTGAGCTGATTTTCAAATATTTATAAAATTACAAATTAATCAATCTTCTGGGAACTATTTTACAACTCTACTTCTCAACCCAACAGGAATCATTTTGGGTCACAACTTATTCTTAGGAAGCACTCAACTAAAGCATAACAACCCATCAGATTTTGTCTCAATATGAAGAACATTTAAGTATATAAAATTAGCTACTTATAGCTATTTGGACTTGAAAAGTCTCATTACTTAGATGCCTTTCAGCATGCTTGATCATTAGAAAAGATCCAGGTAATTCATTTCATGACCTAGCTGGTATGTAAAGCATTTGGAAAGTCTTCTTCTAATATGCAAGCAATTTTAAGACAATGTACAACATCGTCCTTAACTACAAGATCATTTTGCAACATATTTTTCTTTTTCTCAGTTCGGAATGTCATCACCAATCTTTAAGATTCCAGGTTCAGTATCTCATATCACTCCTTAGTAGAATCTCTTAATGAAGAGCAAAAACTGTGAGAAAAAGATCAGCCTAATAAACATGAATATCAGTGCATACTATACTCAGATGAAAATTCTTCTCCCACTATTAGTTTTCTTAAAGTGTGAATTAGTACTCTGAGCAGATTTCTTTAAAGAAATAAATCCTGTTAACATGACAAACAAAGATTTGTTCATTATACCCACAGAAAAAGGCAGTGGATTATAAATCAACAGAGCTGTCAAAGGTTTAAATAAGAGAACTGAAAAGTAATCATTTGTTTCTTTTTTAGGCATAATAAAAGAAATACATGCAAAATTCTACCATTTCACTGTAAAAAATGTATTCAGCATAGCTCCTACCTTTTCTTTTTTGTGATAATGAGGACATCATTAAAGAGGAAGAAGTATACATGTTGCTTAGAAGTCCTTTTAGAAAAAAGTCCAGTGTCTTCAACAAATGCTGCCAATTCACCCCGTTTCACTAACCATCGTGAAGAAGAAACCAGTGGAAAGGGCTACAAAGTAAGAAATCTGCAATTTAATCTTTTCTCCTGGTTTTCTAAGCAGACATTTTTACAATAAAATGTGTTCCTTCTACAGTTCTGAATGCAAAGAGAAAAAGAAAGAAAGAAAAAGAATTGGCATTTGCTAGCCAAAAATATGAACTGTGCTTTAATCTTTATTGCTTTCAGGAAGCACTTTTGTTATTTTCCAAAACAACAACTGAATAATCCCTATTTCATCATTAAAAAAAATAAACACAGCTTATTCTCACTCACAAAACTCAGCACTAAAACAAACCAGAAGCTAAAAGTCTGTATAAAATGCATGGAAGGAAGTCTCCTACCTTGATTTTAAATTCCAACTGGGAGTTGATGGTATACATCATTTCTGTCCTTTCCATTTTTCGAGCACCTTCATTGCACAGACGAACCAACTGGAAAAAGAGACATCTATGTCACCCAGCAGGTTTGCATTTGGTATTAAAAATGTAGTTTTTTTTCTTTACATCTTTTATAGATATGTAACAATAAGGGAATCAGAAAAAAATATTTGTAATGTGTAGCTATTTTTGAATGAACTAGCCTTTTCTACAAACAATTTAAGAATGCTACTTCTATTTTTTTAAAATGGCACTGCTATAATTTCCTTAATATTCTAACTCATAACAACAGGATTCTTGGGTTTTGCCTTGGTTTTTCTTGACAGGCCCCTTCTGACATATAGGCACATATCCAAGGACACTGGCTATCTATACCTTCTTTTTAGGCCACTCATATCTTATTTTCCCCTTTGAACAACTGTGATGCACTTACACACCCAGAAACTACAGCTGGTGCAATTGCTATTGCCCAGGCAGTTATGGATGTATCTGATGTACCAGATTGACAGAAGAAAACAGAAGAGCAATTCAACGGCATGCATGTATGCACCAGGAAGCTAATCTTCAGTTTTCCGCACTGGTCACTTGGTCTTCCAATTTCTGGCGTGCATGTGTGCATGAAGACTAGCTGGCCAGCATGTATGTGCGTGCCGGAAACCAGAAGTTCAGCTTCCTAGCATGTGCATGCATGCCGGGGAGCTACTCTGCCAGCTTCTGGCATTCCCGTGAGCACAAAGAGCTGCTGGTCAGAACCCGGAAGAGCATTGGGCGATGGCTGGAGAGCCATCCTGGAGAGCCATCCTGGAGAAGTGGCTCTGCATAGGTTTGCCATCATGGCTCTAGTCTATAGACTCCCGACTGTAAAATTCCAATGGCATTTTTATATTACTATGGATTAATATTAATGTATAAATAAATAAATAAATAAATAAAATTAATGTAAGACTTTATTTTCCTTACTACCAAGGAAATGCAGGATTTCAGTGCCAGAGAAACCAAAAGGAAGTTTTTAAATCTTTCCCTTTGTCCTTTTTGATTTCTATTGCAAGGGGCAACTTCAAGAATTGTAATAACGCAAAATGTTGATTTTATTTATTTCCAATTTATATCATTAAATCCATTTCCCAACTATATCATTAGAGAAAAGGAACATGAGATATTGCTTTTTCTAATTGCCAATAAGATAAAACTAGTATACCCAGTAGCAACCTTACCCAACTTTCTGGAAGATACCTTTGGGAAAGTCTATTCTCTTTCCCAAAAACTTTGGACTCTCCCCCCCCCAAAAAAAAAGAAAAAAAGGGGGAGGGGGAATCTATACCCTTAAAAAAAATCATCTGGAGTTACTTAGATACAAAGCAGTTACATTTCTATTTATAGCTATTTTCTGTGTAGGAGGCATATTAAAGTATTTTCTTTCTTCAATAGCAATGAATTTCAGTGCAAATAATGAGTAATTTGGAAAAATGAAGATAAAGGCATTTTAAAAGACCCATGAGGCATACTTTTTCTGGAAAGTATTTGTTAGCAAGCCATTAGAAGCCATTTTTATGAGCCAAAGATAAAATCAGATTTATTAATTGATAATTTAGCGACTTCCATATAGAGTAACAGTATATGTCACGGGAATGCTAGTCTTCTTTTCTGATCTGAACAGTATGAAAAATGCACCACTTTTTAAAAAACTCTTACAATATTGATTACATTATATCGTGGCACGACAAAACCGCGGTCCACTAAAGCGCGCCCGATTAAAGCGCGTACCTGACGTCATCAG